CATGTATAATATGTACATGCCATGTGTAGGAGAATTATATGATTTAGTAGTATGCTAAATTCTAGTATTTTCACATGTGGTAGTAACATAGAACACTTGTAGAATTATAAATACTATATACAATTTCTATTGACTTGAATTGTTATATTATGGTGGTGATAATTCTATATTCTTGTTGAGGCCGAATTGTAATTGTTTTAGAAGCTTGTTGCTAAATTGTTAAGGATTAGTATATAAAGCTTATTGTTGAGGCATGATTTAAATTGATAAGTTGGTGATATTGTTTTGTGCATTATATCATGATGAATACTTGTCATTTATTATGTCATTCTAGACTTGGAACCCTAAGACATGAGTTATGTGGTTGCAAAATACTTGTGCATGGGAGGTGGTATATATGCCTTAATATAGTGCATAAGTTTTGAACTTGATATATTTTGGATTCTCTTGGGACATTGTTACAAGTGACATGGCTAGAGTTTGGCTCTAGTGCGGGAGGTATGAGTTCTCCCCATTTATAGTGCGCACTAGGGTGGTATTCCCAGTGGGTTAATGCCCGGAATAACCGTTTAGTTCTTGGCTTTATCCAAGATTTGATGTCCAAGTATTCCACTATTTGATTTCGCATTCAATTCCAAGTTGACAACCAATGTTTAATTGTGACTTGTGATTTTGGTTAATGGCGATTTGATGTTGTTAAGTACATTGATAATGTTATTACATTGTTATTAAATCATTTAAGTTAGTTTAAGATGATTCTTTAGAACACCTTGAACATAGACGTTAAGTGGAATGCTCCCTTGTATTCGTCTATATTGATCTTGCAATGACATTGAAACTTTAGGGTATACGCATATGCTTCTTCCTACGAGTAACTTGATTACTCACCCTAGTTGTGTGGGTTATTTTACAGGTAAGGAGACAATGTTCTCGGATGCTCATCATCCTTAAAGGCTTATGAGCACTTTGGAACTTTTTTGCTTATGGACATGCACTTGTTTAGCATGCTTACTTTTGGATGTTATATATTTTGTATATCATGGATGTATGGTATTTTGTAAGCTAAGATGGCTTCTTTGACATGTGATGTGTATCTAAGTATACTTTTGGAGCTTATTTTGTATGTATAACATGAGGCCAGGGGGCCATTAAACTTCAAGTTATATGTATGCTTTTAGAATACGAGTTTTGCCTTAATAGCCTAATTGTGGAAATGGAGGGTTGAAAGGTTAATTTTTGTAAATAGGTTGAAATGAGGCCGAAGGCCATTGTAGCGTGTCTAAAATATTATTTTACGTTTGCGGGCATGTTCATCCTTCATAAAACTCTCAAGTTGCAAGTTTTGAACTATTTTTGGAATGATTTATGGATTTTATGTAAAAATTCATGCATGAGAGTAAGTTTCATGTTTCTCCTAGTTTTACCACGTTGTTTATACTTGAACAAAGTTAGAAAACATTTTTAAACTCACTTTGGATCAATTGGGATGCATACATACATCAAGGTTCGATCGAGGTTAGCTTTTCATTCTCTGCAGCAGTTTTTAAATTGTTGCAGCAGAACCGTCGGTCGGCTGATGAAGTCCATCAGTCGGCTGACACATGCTCGAGGAGCATTCCAGTAGCTATTTTAGGATTTTCATCGTTTCGGTCGGCTGATGATTGGGGTTTAGCCGACCGATGATGGAGTTTCGGCCGGCTGATGAGAGCCTTTCGGTCGACCAATCCTCCCTGGAACCAAATTCCTTATCTTTTCCTTGGACAGTCTTGTTGCATCGACTTTATAGGACCATAACCCTTTCATTCCTAATTTGACTAGGGTTATTGTCGAGTCTAAATTCAAGAGCTAGAAGTTAGCTTTCCAATGGTTCTAACCACACCTCAAAACTCCACCTATAGGTAGAGTTATTTTTGTTTTAGGGGGATGGGTTCATGGTATCACTTAAACGGAGAATGTCATTTTGTTCTTTTTATATCTTTTCTGTCCGAGCTCCGAATGAGGGGATTCTTGAGTCCAACTTCATTCATTTTTTATTGTCTTTCTAATGGGGTGCATGGTGGCATCCATCATAGTCTAAAATGACCATTTCACTCTTGGTTCATTTCTTTTCGGGTTTGACATTCTTATTTCATTTGCTTAGCTTTATAGAGTTCCATGGCTTCATGGGGAGTCATTTTGGTACCTTAGGGATGACGTACATCTCTAGAGGTCATTGTTTCACATTTTGCATCCGCATTTCAGATTCATTATCGAGTCATCTTTTGGTTATCACTGATGCACCGGGTTTACAAAACTTGGGCCGTCACACCAAATGTCACAATCATCAACCAGCACGAAAGATCTCTAATTTCCTCATAACACCCATATTAGGTAAACAAATTATAACATTATTCGATTCAAGTCTTACCTTATCAAAACACACACTACGACCATCTCATGCCTAAAACCTCAAAACCAAAGTCAATCATTCCTATTATTCCTCAATAGAATCACACATTCACTTTCTCTAATCACAAAATTCTAAGGCAACATCGACACTTATCCTCAAGACACTACTCGAATCAAATGCCTATAAGAACATCTGAGTACGTGACACGCATCCCATCACTTAATCATCCTTAAACTGCCGTTCACGACACATTCCCTAGCCACCACAGCTAGTACTAAACACCGGAAACATACAATCCCTATTCGGCAACCTGTGCCTCATATTCTACCGGTCAAAACCACTCTTAGAACAAGCACTACAAAAACCAAAGACTCCACCTCCCTCGGTGGGAGTGAGTCGACCTATTCAACTAAACCTTACCGGTGAACTCTAACAACGCAACAAACCACACACAGGTCCATTGATCCGTGAACACATACAACTCCTGGATAGAGGACAAGACATACGACAAACGACGTCCTTGCCAGGACTAGAACAAACGGAAAGGGCAATAACCCCACTGACAACTCATACCCAAATGCACTCAACACCTTGTCAAACACTATACACCAATCGTCCAACCATGGACACCCAATCTCACCTCAGATGAAATGAACTCCTTACACACAAGGAGAAGAACCAACTGGAAACACATACAGAACTAAGAACTCAATTCTAGGCGACCTCGCCACTAACGGACCGTCATACATCATCAACACTGGAACCTTGCATACGCTACTCCGCAATACCTACTCTAATAAAAACCAACAAGATAAGAGCACCAATTGCTCATGGCGTACTAACAATGGGAACGATCACAGTACACTGGGCACCGCGTCCTATTCTACCTAGAATCAGTCACTCCCAACCGACAACCTCTATGCCAAACAATGACATTGAATCACCCATTCCACCTTCACCTTTCAAGGAGACACTACCTCGATCACCGTGCACACAAGACCCGTGACCTCAGTCACAATAACCCACTGATTCTTTAAAAGAAAAAGATACCTACATGGCAACACCTCTCTCTCTGGTTCCAAAGACTAAGCTAACCACAATTGCCTCAATTAGCGCACAATCCTATCACTTAACTGACAACATACAACAAACAACTCATAATCCCCAAACCACATTCGGATCATACCTTAAACCGTTCTGCTCATCATCACTAAACATCACACCTTAACACCTTCACTGCCACTCATCCAAATCAACAGTTCACGCTTATTATTCCACCGGACCATCAAGCCACTACCAAGTAATTCTTCTTCCAACATCCTTAAGATAACACCATTATCACAATCGAATAAGCACCACTCTTGATACTCCCCACAACGACCACTATTTACCACTAGAAAAAAACATCATACAGTAATGTCATGCTGACAAATCCTCAAAACAAAATTGAGAATAAAAACCAAAATACTCAACACCCAACTGTCACCTCAAAACCATCGACGATGCAATCAATCATTTCAAATCAACAGTCTATCACTTGAATCCTCAAACACCCATCATAATCACCTGATGCTCTAAACATACCCGGAATACTTCTAATTTCCAAAACACAATCCATTTGGTACACAATACCCATCATCTATCCCTCCATCCTTAAACGACTAAGTATACCGTTGACTACATAGTATCTACCTTATCATGCAATCTTGCACTACACTACTACAATTGACCACTATACACCACCTCAAAACTGTCTTAATAACAGTGCCAACATAAAAACCAGTTCATCAATCGAGCCATGCAATCAACTCACCGAGAGTCAACTACTCGCGACGTACTCCTGCAGTTTTCCGAAATGGGAATCACCTTTCAACTAACTGTAATCAACACACCTCCCTAGACTATACCAGAGCACTCATAATACACATCTACAACCAATAGACTACACTCGTGACTCAAACAACCTCAGTCACATCTACTATTATCAGTTGGAAAAAAACCTCCGCACCAAACCGTGACCCAAGTCACAAACACTAACCCCCTAAGGTGATATACCTTTCCTACAAAACCCTCACTCGCACACCTGACCCCCACGGTCACAAGAAGCCCATGCACCAATACATGAAACTCACACACAACATAGTCACTATGCCATGAAATACAAACCCATTCTAAAGTTATGCTTTAAGCACCGCACAAATGTAACAAGAAAATCAGGAGAACCCCACACTGGATAGCTCAATCCATGAGCTAAAAGACTAAGCAATTTGTTCAATAAGAACTGGCACCTAAACAACCATAGGACAACCGAGCTCCTCACCTACTCGGGTCAAAACTCACACAACCATCCTATACTTGACTGCATATACACATAAGAATATAGGTATATACACAAGCATACTTATATATATATATATATATATATATATATATTTATATATACAACAACCGAAGCATAACCCTTGACATGACCGTGTCCTCACAGAAGTTTAAATAATAAGTTTATTAAATTATTATGTGAAATTAAATATCTCATCCATCCTCATCATCATTTCATATACTACACACTTACACGATCCGTGCTCACAGCTTGCCATCTTATTGTCACTAACAGAATTTTCTAAATAAAATCCTCGATTTATTCAAATCAAAATACATCAGTATTACACCCAGCATCTCAAAAAGAAATACAATTATTCCCTTTATTGATACAACATCAATTCCTCAAATAAAAATACAACATCTCTAAAATAAATTAAATAAAAATCCTCAATACCAACTCTTCCACCGAAGCCCGAATCTAGCAATCCAAGCTTATCCTTTGTACCTGAAACTAGAAGGGGGTGAGACGGGGGAAGTCCCAGTAGGAAAAACCATAACAAGGATTTCAAGAAGTTTAATGCAAAATTAGCTTCACAAAAAAATATATATACTTTTAAACAAAATACATATATGCAATTTTACCAAAATATCAGTCAATAAGATAATTAAAACAAAATCATCTAGGCCATTTAAGGTATGAAAAACCTACTCAAAAAAATAAATACTCATCACTGGATTATCCAAGTCTCGGTCCTCTCTGCCTTCTCTCGGCATCAGCTCCTCAATCTTTCTCTAATTTTTCCCTTCTACTTCCTCTATTTTCTCATACTATCTATGAATACCTCAGTACACAACAAACACCCAATAAATAGACAATTTGTGTTGACACAGTGCAAATAGCTCACCAAAAATATCAAACAATTAGTCTTCAAGTGTAGCCCACACTTTTCTCATTACAATTAAATCTGTTACTTTTGGCAGCCCATTATTTCACTACTCCCTTATCTTTCTCTTCCTTATCCTTTCATAAAGAATACAAATTTTATCCAAAGGACACCCACATGAACAGCCAAAGCCCAAGAAAATTTTGGCCAAACAAACCATTAGTGGGACCCGCCACTAACACATTAAAATTTCATTTCCATTTCCATTTTCATTTCCATTTCCATTTCTCACTTCCGGCCTTCCATGTTTCCACCCACTTTCGGCAGTGCACCCTTTTTCTCCATATGCTATATATATATATATATAATAGGGCAAATTTCATAAAACCCTCACTACTTTCATTTTTTTATAATAAAACCCCAGCCTGTTTCTAAAACCCCTATACTTTTAAAAAGTGTTCACATTGCCCCAATATCTGTATCCAACCCGTTAATTAGGCTGTGAAATGACAAATTTGACCTTACTATTTAATATTAAATTAAAAACTTAAAATTAGTTTTTAAAATTACAAAAATACCCTTCAAATCTTCTTCTTCTTCACTCCCTTCTCTCTCTTTAAAACAGACCATCTACAGGGTACTGATCGCAACACACACGCACATAAATATAGGCACTCATGTATATATATACATGAGATCTGGTTTGAAATCGTTAATTTTGCGAGTTGGAACATTGGATTCTCTTCTATCTCTCAGCGATGATCTTCGAAAGGTGAAATTCTTCCAAACCTAATTACACTTTTCGTTGTGATTTCTAGTCATTGTGTTTAGATGCAGTCGAATAGCTTCATCGAATCAATGTCTCACAAGATTCGACGCAAGATTAAAGAATTGGAGAGGGTTTTGGACGTATACATATACATAAGTGCCTATATTTATTTTCACCAGGAGAAAGAAAAAAGAGAAGAAAAAGAAGATCAATCACCACAATACTAAGAACTCTGGGTTAAGGAAGGGTACCCTATACCATGGTCCATAGCGCTTGTTTGGGAAAATCATGAACACCGAGCCAGAGACTGCACCAATAACAGGAAGCACCACCATCAACAAAACATTCTCATTCGACTCAAAAGACGGGTAGAAACACTCCACCGTGTTTGAATCCAAAAGTGCAACCATAGCAAACACAATCAACGAAAAGAATGCGGGAATAAAGTCCGCGAATCGGAGTTTATACTTGGACAAGTCCACGGACCCTTTTGATGGCCAGAGACCCTTTGCCGTCGCAACACCATAGTGGGTGTCTCCGTTGCTGTCAGTGTAGTTGTCTATGAATGAAGAGAAGCAGCAAGAGAAGCCGGAAAAGGCGATGAGTATGCCTTTCCTTATTTTTTTCTTTCTTTAGTGAGAATAGGGTCCCTTTTCTGTACAAAGCAAATAATAAAAGCAATTGTCCCAAAGTTTGACAATAATAATACCCTTTGTGAAAACAACACACCACATACGAGATTGCTTGCTGGGTGTAAATTTGATTTTAACAGAGATTGCCAAAGCCACACGAATTCGCACCATTCAAATATTCATCATCATACACATAGTAATAGGGGTGAGATGGGAAAAAAAAATGCCAAGCTTGTAAATGTTGTGACAGTAGATGGTCTATTTTAGAGAGAGAGAAGGGGGTGAAGAAGAAAAAGAGGGTATTTTTGTAATTTTAAAAAATAATTTTCAGTTTTTCATTTAATTTTAAATGGTAAGGTCAAATTTGTCATTTCACAACCCAATTAATGGGTCGGATACGGATATTGGGGCAATGTGAACACTTTTTAAAAGTATAGGGGTTTTTAGAAACAGGTTGGGGTTTTATGATCAAAAAATGAAAGTAGTGGGGGTTTTATGAAATTTGACCTAGATAATATATACAATGCAACAAAAATCAAAACCAAAACCAAACTCATTATACAACATTCAAGTGGGACCTGCACCTAAAACATATTACCAATCCTCTTTCTTTCTCCACTGCCGGTTGCCTCAAATCCCTTTAGCATACTTATATATATATATATATAAGTAAACAATTTCAAGGCCTATTAAATCAACACTAGTGGGACCCGCCCACCAATTACCTTTCTTTACTTGTTTTCCTTTTTCACTCATTTCGGCACCATGCTTCCATTTCACCAACTGGTATACCATATGAATATATATATATATGTATCATATATATCAACTAAAATAAAAACCAATTCAAACCCATTAACTAAATCAAGTGGGACTCACAAATTAACATTACAAATTTAATTTTTTCTTCCTCTAATTTTCAGCAGCCCACTTTATCCTTCCATTAAACTGCATATATATATATATATATATATATATATATATATATATATTATGCAGTAAAGAAACCAAATCAATAAATTATCTCCAATTAATATAAAACTTAATCAATCTTTGATAATTAAAAATGATAGAAACTATATAATTTCAACTCCTAAAAATTTGGGTTGTTACACTAATCACGTATAACATGCTTTCAAATACATTCCCATTTCATTTTCATAGTTGGATCATATAACTACTTCACATGCATGGCCATGTAACACAATTTTACCATTTAATCACATAACCACTTAGCAAATAGGCATGCCTTCAAAACTGTAAACATATAAATAAGTAGCAAGTAAGCATGCTTCTCAAAACATTAAACACTTTAACAGTTAATACTTCCAAATCAACTCAAGTCCCACTCAGGTCAACCCTACCCATCGTCCCTACTTTTTTGAACCTAAAACTCTGATACCAAGTTTGTAACGACCCAAACTGGGGGTCTGGATTGCTAACCGGGTCCTTAACCAAACCCGAGGACACACTAGGGATAAAATGGTCATTTTACAGTGTGAGAGGGCAATCCAACCTAAAACTAATCAAATGAGGTTTAAAACAATCATTCTAATCATTCAATGATGCTTGGTGAAGTTCTACGGTCATTGGATAAGATTTCCCAAAAGTACCCTTACCCGGTTCAAGGGAAATTCTGACACTGTTCCACTAAAACAATCATAACTCTCAGCATGAATAGAATTTGAGGATGAGGTTAGTCTCAATCATCAACTAGCACGAGAGATCTCTAATTTCCTCATAACACCCATATCAGGTAAATAACTTATAACATTACTCGATTCAAGTCTTACCTCGTCAAAACACACACTACGACTATCTCATGCCTAAAACATCAAAACCAAAGTCAATCATTCCTATTATTCCTCAATAGAATCACACATTTACTTTCTCTAATCACAAAATTCTAAGGCAACATCGACACTTATCCTCAAGACACTATTCGAATCAAATGCCTATAAGAACATCTGAGTACATGACACACATCCCATCACTTAATCATCTTTAAACTATCGTTCACGACACATTCCCTAGCCACCACTGCTAGTACTAAACACCGAAAACATACAACCCTATTCGGCAACCTGTGCCTCACATTCTACCGATCAAAACCACCCTTAGAACAAGCACTACAAAAACCAAAGACTCCATCTCCCTCGGTGGGAGTGAGTTGACCAATTCAACCAAACCTTACCGGTGAACTCTAACAGTGCAACAAACCACACACAGGTCCATCCATCTACGGACGCATACAACTCCTAGATGGAGGACAAGACATATGACAAACGACGTCCTTGCCAGGACTAGAACAAACAGAAAGGGCAATGACCCCGCTCTCATAAGAGACTGACAACTCGTACCCAAATGCACTCGACACCTTGTCACACGCTATACACCAATCGTCCAACCATGGACACCCAATCTCACTTGAGATGAAATGAACTCCTTACACACAAGGAGAAGAACCAACTGAAAATGCATACGGAACTACGAACTCAATTCTAGGTGACCTCGCCACTAACGGACCATCATACATCATCAACATTGGAACCTCGCATACGCTACTCCAAAATACCTACGCTAATAAAAACCAACAAGATAAGAGCACCAATTACTCACGGCGTACTAACACTACGAACGATCACAGTATACTGGGCACCGCGTCTCATTCTATCTAGAATCAGTCACTCCCAACCGATAACCTCTATGCCAAATAATGACATTAAATCAACCATTCCACCTTCACCTTTTAAGGCGACACTACCTCGATCACCGTGCACACAAGACCCGTGACCTCAGTCACAACAACCCACTGATTCTTTAAAAGAAAAAGATGCCTACATGGCAACACCTCTCTCCCTGGTTCTAAAGACTAAGCTACTATCACTTACCTGACAATATACAACAAACAACTCATAATCCCCGAACCACATTGGGATCATACCTTAAACCGTTCTGCTCATCATCACTAAACATCACACCTTAACACCTTCACTGCCACTCAAAATTAACAGTTCAAACCTATTATCCCACCGGACCATTAAGCCACTACCAATCAATTCTTCTTCCAACATCCTTAAGATAACACCATCATCACAATAGAATAAGCACCACTCTCGATACTCTCCACAACGACCATTATTTACCACTAGAAAAGAACATCCATACGGTAATGCCATGCCAACAAATCCTCAAAACAAAATTAAGAATAACAATCAGAATATTCAACACCCAACTGTCACCTCAAAACCATCGATGATGCAATTAATCATTTCAAATCAACAGTCTATCACTTGAATCCTCAAACACCCAGCATAATCACCTGATACACTAAACATACCCAGAATATAACTCCAGCCCATAACTTCTAATTTCCAAAACACAATCCATTTGGTACACAATACTTATCATCAATCCCTCCATCCGTAAACGACTAGGCATACCGTTGACTACATAGTATCTACCTTATCGTGCAATCCTGCACTATACAGCTACAATTGACCATATACACCACCCCAAAACTTTCTTAATAACAGTGCTGATGAGCGCTGAATAGATGCATATTCGAGCCCCTAAGTACATATATGTTAGAGCCTAAAGTGATACTTCTATCCATTATTAGACTAATTTATGTTTAATGTGTGTTTGTAGGTACTTTCCCAGATAAATGGTTAAAACTGGGACTTTATGATGATATCGAAGCTTACAAAGTCATTGTTGGTCATTCAGAGCAAGCCGAGGGCTGATTTTGTAAAGATTGAAGCAATTCAAGCCTTAGAGCTCGAGCCCAAATGTTGAGGCTCGAGCATCACAACAAAGAGAAGAAAAGTCAACAAGGCCCAAATGCTCGAGCATCATACCTTGATGCTCGAGCCTTACTTCAGGGTGCTCGAGCCTTAACAAAGGGTGCTCGAGCCTTGACCCTGAAACTCGAGCATGAGGCATTAGAAATAAAAAGAGTTGATTTAACAAAAAGGCTATGCTCCTAGGTCTCGTGCATCACCTCCAAGATCGAGCACTATCAACAAAGGATCAAGCATCATCCACTAATGCTCAAGCATTAAAACCCAGATGCTCGAGCCTGGTACCTTGTGCTCGAGCCTATGAAGCTTGGATCGAGCAATGTTAAAGGAGTTCAACCCAAAAATATTCTAAGTGTTGAAGAAAAAGAAACTTCGGAAAATAGTTGAAGAAAATTGGCTAAATGTCAAAGTGATGATCAAGCATCATTTACTGAAACTCGAGCATCTATCTAAAGAAGCTCGAGCATTGATCCTGATGCTCGAGCATGAACCCTAAAGCTCGAGCATCCGTTCCTGAAGCTCAAGCCTTCCATGACATGTCAGATTAAAAGCTGTGGGATTACTCTTTTTACCAGCCATATCTCATCCCAGTTAGGCCAGAAGACTTAAAAGCCCACCAAATACATATTTTCTTCTATAAAAGAAGGCATAAGCTTTGAAAGAAGAGGTCTAAAATTTTAATCTTTTTTACGGTGTTATTCACAAGGCTGAAGGTGTGGTGGCTTTTAGGGTTCCTACAACCTTAGAAGTGCAGATCTTGAGAAGAGAAGCGTAACCCGTGATGATGGAGATGAACTCAACACAGATGTT